ATATTGAAAGATTCGAATGAAGATCAATGCAGAACTCACGCTGCGAATATGACAAAGAATAGCACCCAGTTAATGGGTGGAGATTGTGCAAACTTGAAGAAGTGTGAACACACAAAAACGTTGTTAGATAAGAACTGACCTTCTGATCCCTCGTAGATGATCGCGAAAACTTCAAAAGAGAAACATAAAAAGTACAAAAGGGAAGCATCATACATGAATATAAGAAATAATGAGATGAAAAACAAGAAAATTAAATTAAAAATTTCAAAAATAGTAAAATTAAAACCGAAAAAAACTTATTTCAACTGAACAAAGTGAACTAACGTAGTTTTGCGTATTTTTACTGAAAATATAAAAAATAAATAGAGTAAATTGGACCAACCAAACTACATACTTGACAGATTTTGTCAGTTTGGTTCTAATTTGAACCAAGCTATCGATATCAGTGTGATATCCGGTTGTGTATGTTTTAGATAATTGTCATTACTGTTTTTATCGTTTTTCTTTGATTTTTCATGTGTTTTTTCGGTTTCTTTCATTGTTTTTTGATATTTCAATCTGTTTCAGTCCACGATGAACCCAACTGAGATGCCATCAACATCTGCTTCAGTCGTTGAGCTTGTGAGCTGGCTGATGTTTTTCATAAAAGTAAGTGTTTTTCAATTTTCTTTTTCTAATATCATGATTTCAGGCATCAGATTTGCTTTTCACCAGAAAAGCTTTGAGCTATCTGGAGAAGAAGCTCAAAAAAAGGTCCAACTCGGGGCTGGAGAAGTTTCTCGGAGCTGTGGCTTCGAATGGATCAAACATGGGTGATTGTGTCACCATGCCAAGGACAAAAGATGGCAGGATTCATGTAAGTTTTCTTTTCCCCTTTGTCTTAATATTGTTCTTTTCAGATATCCAGTCGGATGGTGGTGCCGGAAGTCGTGTTCACACGCATATTGCGCTCCCCAGACGCGGATGAGAAAGCGGCAAGGCACAGAGGATGCCAGGTGGACCCTCAGGTATTATTTTTCACATGTTTTCTCAAATTTTTTCCGTGTTATAGAATGTTTGTGTCAATCCATGGCACTATGATGTCACAGAAGATGTACAAGGTCGGTTTTCAATTAACTTTTCTTAATGTGTTTGATTTCAGTGGTCTCAGATGTTCCCCCTCGAGTTTTGAGGTCCAGAAGAGTGATGGCGATGAGACAGGTATATTATTTTCTAATTTGTTTTAATTTTTCTGTTTTTATTCTCAGACATCGCCGAAGAAGGTGATTAGTGGATTTATCCAGAAAAGAAGAGCTGGAACTTCAGAGGAGGTAATAGTTTTGATATTTATTTTATTGATTTTAATGTTTCAGATCAATCATCTCTATAGAAGGACGTGCCATGAAGGATCTGCCGGAGTTTGTTTTTTTGAGTTTGTGAGTTTTTATTAATTTTTGTAAAAAATGAAACTTATCTTAACTTATTGAACATATTTTTAGATTTCGGTGGACGTTCCACGCCAGAAATTTTACTGTGGAATCCTGTGAGATTTAGTGAGTTTCATAAATTCAATTTTAATATACACTTTCTCTGTTGAGGTGGCGTTGTTCTCATTCCATGTGGGTAGCGTCACCCGGTGTTGAAGGCTTTTTTTACTATTTATTTATGGTCTTTGGTTTGTTACAAGGTTTGAATTTTCACTATAACCAAACATGACATAATGTACATGTTTTCAGAATAAGATGTACATGTTTGAAGGTTTATTCGATTCTCGGTTATGAAATTTCTCTGTTATGAAATTCAGGTTTAACTGTTTTAACCAACTTTATCTCGTACGTTTTACACTTATTGATTGTTTCATCGTTCCATCCGGAATTCTTATGTATAAGATACAATCCCTCTTCTGAATACTAGATAGTTTCTATAGGGTTATCTATAGCTCAATGGCACGACCATTGGCTTCTCCGGGTAATAAACTTTCCTTACCTCTTGCTTATGTCTATTACTCGTTACCTCTATCTAACTCGCTTATCTTTAACTGTATGTTCACAAGATTAGACTTATTGTAATAGTAGTTATCTTTATGTAAACACTTATGCTTAAATAAATCTTTTCTCTTACGTTCGTGTTCTCTCAGAGTAGTTGTGAGTTAGATCCTTTTCCGTGCGCTCGCGTTAACCGCTACACGCACATGGAATCTACTCCAGTTCTTTGGGTATCTATTGTAATGATAGATATTCTAGGACTTGCGAGCGTCCAGATCTACATTTAGATCGTATGGAACGTTCATGAAAATTTTTTTTAGCTGTTTGCTCAGCGAACTCAAGAGATTAGTGGAATTTGTGCTAATAACACACAAGGAAAGCATTGTGAAGTATGCGCGCATGGATTTTTCGGTGATCCAAGAAACGGTAGATCTTGTCAGCTTAACCATCTACACAATGATATCAACATTTTAAGGAACAGAGATGTATGTATTTTTCGGATATCATAACATTCTCGGATTCTGTTATGAA